TATTTAAAAATTTAAAAATATTCACTAAAAATAAAAAAAAAATGAAAAATAAAAAACTTAATTTTTTAAAAATTAAATTCAAAAAATTGAAACCAAACATAATTGTTTCTGCACTTTATATTATACTATGAAAATTTATTTATCCACAATTTTTTCCTTCAAACTCTTTGAATGATGTTGCAAGTGAAATTGTAAACGTTGACTCTTGCTCCAACATGTAGGGTGTGTTTGGTAACGTTTACGTTTTCAGTTTATATTTATAAAAATTTTATAAACTGGTTTTTGTTTATTTTAAAAAAAACATAAACTACAAACGCGTTTGGTAATTGACAAAATGTTTAAAAAAATTTAAAAATATAAAAAAGAATGAAAAATGGCAAGTGGTGGCAAGTGGCGGCAGAAGACGGTGGTGGAAAGTAGTGACGATGGGTGTTGGGTAGCTGGTGGCAGGTGGGTGGTGTGTGGTAGCGAGTGGGTGGTAGCGGTGGTGGTGGTGGGTGGTGGTGACAGGTGGGTAGTGAGTGGTGGTAACAGGTGGTGGTGGTGGGGGGTGGGTGGTAGCAGAAGACAGTGGTAGAAAATGGTGGCGGGTGGTAGCTAGTATTGAGTGGTAAAAAAAAAAATTGAAAACTCAAAATGGAAACACATTTTTTGTGTTTTCATTTTTTTGGCCAAATTTATAAAGTGAGACCATTGATTTATAAATCAAAAATTTGACCAAACAAGTTTTTATTTGAATTTTTTAAATTTTTGTAAATATAAACAGAAAACTGAAAACGTAAAGTGTTACCAAACGACGCCGTTGAAGTCCAGCTGAAGAAATATATAGGGTCGGGCTTCTAGATTGGATGGTGTTCTTAGGTTGGTAGGGTCTAGGGGTCTGTTTTGATAATTTAAATAGTTTAATATGTAAGATTTATTAAATATTTTATTTTTATAAAAAATCACGTTGATCGAATATCGATAATTATTTAATTGTATCAAATTTTTGTCAATAATTTATTTTCAAAATTATATTTCTCGTTAACAGAAATTTAATCTGATCAAATTACTATCGATATCCGATTAACGTGATTTTTTATATGAATAAAATATTCAACAAATTTTACACATTAAATATTTAAATTATCAAAATATGACCCGTGATAGCCCCTACAAGTCCAACAACATGTTATAAACTGATTTTGAACTCAAGAGAAGTTTGACCCAAATATATATCTATATATATACTAGCTAATTAGGCACCGGCGGCTTGCAGAAACATTTTTTTTTTACTTTATGCTAGTTTTTGTTTGAATTGAAACATAATAAAATGGAATGATTATTTGATAGAAGTTAAAAAATAATAATTTCATTCTAATTTAAATTAATTAGATATGTTTTGGATGGTTCAAAATTAAACTTGATGCTATTTTTAAAAAATAAGAGCTCATTTTATCCAACTATCGGAGAAAACAAGGAAAAATTACCTTTTTTATCAAACAAGAAAAAATTATAAGAAAGTCTATTTGAACACTGTACAAACTATCAATACATAACGGAAATGATATTTGGATATAAACTTTCAAAACAAATGTTAAATATTTAGATTTAAAAATATGAATAAAAATAAATTAATCGAATATATATCTCATTCAATTATTTATATCTAAATAATTACTTTATGTTTATAAATTTATATTTAAATATTATTTATAGAGTGTCCTGAGAATTTGTATTATAAATAAAATTACTGTAAAAAAAAAAAATCTCTGTAAAAGTTGATTTTCCCAAAGCAAGGGCAAAAAAAGAATTTGGCCCTTTTGGCTATGGAAGCCACGTGATTGCATAGACCTAGCGAGCATGTAAATTGTTGACATCAAAGGGGTAAGTTGGGCACGAGAAAAGCAATCCATTCCAAAAGGGTCACTTAAGAAAAGTCCATAAAATAATTAAAAAGTTAAAGTTAACCTCTTTCCTAAACGAACCCATAGATAGATAGAGACAAGGGTTGCCTGCTGTGCTAGATAGATAGATAGATAGGGACAAAACGGCACAGTTTTGACAACACTAGTGTACTTTTGTCCATCGACATCTCCCTCTAGCCTCTATACATTAAAAGCATCAACGTAAACCTATAATTATATAAGCTAATAAATTATTTTTTGGGTAAATTACATTGACCCTGGAGATTTCTAACAAATACAAGAATCTCTCTTGTGATTTCAATAATTACAGTGACTTCTCTTATTTTACATGACATTCTATTGGTTCTCCCATTCTGTCAATTGGAACAAATGGTGTTACTTTCCTATAGTAAAGGACCTTATTGCCTTTCTTTTTAAAATATTAAAAAATATTTTTGAATTGGAGGACGGGTTTGGAAGAAAATGACCTTATTATAGGAAGGAACAGTGTTTGGAACAAACAGTGTTTTTTGATTTATTTTTTTATTTTAAATATATAATTTTTATTTAAATTTTTTTATTTTAAATATTTTAATCTGAAAACTAAACATAACTCAAAATTCAATTTAAAAATTATTTTCAAATAAAAAAATATATTTAAAATAAAAAATATATGTTTAAAATAAAAAATATTTTTTAAATTTTTTTAATATTTAAAAAATATATTTAAGATATTTTAAAAAATACAACACATAAATATATGAAATATAGTGCACATAAAAATAAATAAATATTTAAAATATTTAAAAAAAATACCCTAAAAAATAAATCCAAAAAATTTCAAAATCTAACTCAAAACTCTTTTTAAAACTTATAACCAAAAAAAAAATTTCTTTTCAAAACTCATAACTATTTACACAACTCAAAACTACTCAAAACTCAATTTAAAAATTATTTTTTCAAAATTCATAACCAAACACATAACTCAAAACTCAATTCAAAACTCTTTTCAAAACTTAACCATACTTTTTTCAAAACTCTATTTTAAAAGAAAAAAATTAATAAAATATTTTTTTATTTTATTTTTTAAAATTATTTTTAGAATCATGATTTGAGTATGGAGCCGTATTTTGAGTCATGAGTTTTGAAAAGAAATTGATAATCCCACCCTACCCCATTACTAATAACAAATTGATACAATTAGGTCATGTTTGATTCACAATACTAATAGTGAAGTATTAATAATCCTATTAAATTAGTGTAGCATTCACTATCCAATTGGATTAATATCCATTAGATTAATAATCTCACCCCTACCCCATTACTAATAATCCTACAAATTTGTTGGATTAATTATCCATTGAATTAATAATCCTAAACCAAAATGTTAAAACAAACATGAGATAATTGGGTCCACGGATTAATCCGCCCAATCAAACATGTTCTTAAACCGTAAGGACTAAAATACCATAAGAGGCATACATTAGGGACCAATAATGTAATTAATCCTATGTAGTAATTCACTAGAAAGAAGTTCAAGATATTACCCAATCTCTTGCAATGTTGTGACTTGTGAGCATGAGTAATTAAATCATAAAAACAGAGCAAAAATTGATGGTCATGATGGACGAGAAATCTCTGCGTGCATTGATGAAACAGATCAAAATACAAAGTCTTCTTATTTCAGATCTTCAGCTAGGCGAAGATGCTAATTCTGAAGCCCTGCTATACACAAGTACTACATTTTAACACTGGATTAATAACTCTATACAATAGCTCTCTATAACATGCATACACTGTAATGACCGAACAATTTTAAGAGACAGATACAGAGAGACAAAACTGAAGAGACTCTCATGGATAAACCAGGAGTTACTTAGAGGGCTTCTTTATGTTGAAGTTTGCAAAGCTAAATGCAAGAGATACTGCTTGAGCATTTGCCACCAACCATGTGGAAACTTGGCTCTCTATAACATGCATACACTGCAATGACCGAACAATATAAAATGTGTGTATATGGTAATTGGATAGTGAATACTACACTAATTTACTCCTGACCCCGAAAAATCCCCGTCACTCTCTCTCTCTCTCTATTTAGCTTTCTCTCTCAATAACAAATCATCATCAACAACATCATCGATCATCAACAACAACATCATCGATCATCAACTTCATTTTCATCAACAAAAACATCATCAACGGCAACATCATCAAAAAAAAAAAAACTGAGAAAGATCTAGCGGGAGGGAGGAAATCGATGGTGATGGCGGTGGCGGGATCTTCTCAGATCTGCCGTGGCAGAGAGAGGAGGAGGCGAAAGGCGACGGTATATGAAGGTTTGACGGTGGCCTGGCGGAGGAGGAGCTGACGGAGGACGAGGCCTCGAGAGGCGACAGGAGGAGGCCGCGAGAGGCGACGGAGGAGGAGGCAGCAGTGGGCTGGAGGAGGAGGAGGCGATGGTGGCTTGGAGGAGTCGACTGCGTCTGTGGAGAGAAGAGAGAGAGTGAAAGAAGAGAAAAGAGAGAGAGTGTAAGAGAGAGAAAAATCAAAAAGAGTGTGTGTGACTGTGTAGTGTAAGTCAACCAAACACATATATATAAATCGGGGCTAACAAGGATGGGGGATGGGGCTGGGGGGGCTGGGGGCCGGGGATGAAATATGTATCACCGTCCCGGCCCGAATGTCATCAGGGATTTATTTTTGAATACCATCCCCGGCCTGTCGGGGGTATTTTTTAGGGAAAAACCACTCTTATCTGGGACGGGGGGTCGGGTCCCCGTCGGGCCGGGTTCAAATTGCCATCCATACTACTCCTTGTTGTACAACAAGGACCTTTTTCCCAATAAGTAGATAGATATTTTGATAGTAACTTTTCTTCCGTTTAGAATCGAAGTGGAGCGTATTGTTGGGTCTTCATGAGTCTATTATAGAGTTCATATCAACAATCCGAATGATTTAATATGTAAAACTTATCGAATACTTCATTCTTGTAAAAAATTACGTTGATCGGATATCGATAATCATTTGATCAAATCAAATTTGTGTCGACTGTAATTATGATTTTAAAAATAAATTGTTCATACAAATGTGATTTGATCAAGTGACTATTGATATCCAATCAACATGATTTCTTACAGAGATGAAGTACTTGATAAATTCTATACATTAATAGTTTGGATCGTTAAAACGAATATAAAATAAATTCACAATAAAGTAGACTGGATCGTCCAATTGATTAGTCTAACTAGACTTGAAATCATTTTTTTCTCAATGGTTTCAGCTCAAGAAATTAGATGGTACGATATATATGCCTCTTAACAATCAATTGTATCCAGATGTTGCGAAAAAAAACTCAAAATTCTTTTTAAAACTCATAATCAACCCACACAATTTACCACCAAGGGTGGTGGCCCAGTGGTGAAGGCATTGCCTTCCCACAGTCATGAGTCAAGTTCGATTCTTGGAGGGCGCGAAAATCCTGGATTTCCCAAGGGCTCTCTGCGAAGACCTCGTGCTGTACTCCACTCGAAACTTGTCCATGGCTGGGGCGGTTGATGAGCTCCATTGGTGCATTGGTGATAAGTCCCTTCCTATGGGCTGGGTTAAACCAAGCCGGCAACCGGCTACCCCGGGACCTGGGCCTACGAAGGTCGTGATGCCCCCACAGAACCTCCTTTTTACTTATGTTCAAAAAAAAAAAAAAAAAAAAAAAAAACAACCCACACAATTTAAAATTTAATTCAAAAATTATTTTTAAAATTCATAACCAAACTCCTTTCAAAACTCTATTTTTCTAAAAAAAATCAACTTTTTTATTATTTTATTTTTAAAATCATGATTTGAGTGTAGAGTTATATTATGAGTTATAAGGTTTGAATTGAGTTTTAAAAAGAGAAAATTTGTTTGGTTATAAGTTTTAAACAGAGTTTTGAGTTGTATTTTTTTAATGTGCACAGTATTTCATAAAATTTGTGCACTGTATTTTTTTTTATAAGTATTTGAGTTGTATTTTTTTAAATATTTTTTTACTTTTTTTAAATATTAAATTTTTTTAATTAAAAAAAATTGAATCACCTTATATATGTAAATCATAACAAATTATTTGGCCAATACTTAAAAAAATTCAAAAAAAAAAAAAAATTATTTTTTCAAAAAATACAGAATAAAAAATAATTTTAAAGAACAAAATAAAAAATATTTTTTAATAGAATTTTGAAAAAAATTTGGTTATGAGTTTTGAAAAGAATTTTTGAATTGAGTTTTGAGTTATGTGTCTAGTTATGATTTGAATGTGGACTTGTGTTTTGAGTTTAAAAAATTAAAAAAAATAAAATATTTACGTAAAATAAAAAGTAAAAATATTTTAAAATAAAAATTATATATTTAAAATAAAAAAAATAAAATGTTTTTAAACATTTTTAAATATTTAAAAAAATTAAATCTAAAAAATTTCAAAATACAACTCAAAAATCAAAAACTCAAAACTCAAAATATAATTCAAATTTTTTTTCAAAATTCAAAAATTCAAACTATTTTTTCAAAATTCATAACCAAACAAATTTTCTCTTTTCAAAACTCAACTCACAATTCCAGACTTATCATAACCAAACAAATTTTCTCTTTTCAAAACTCAACTCACAATTCCACACGTAAATCACAATTCCACACTTAAATCATGATTTTGAAACTAAACCAAACGGAGCCCAATTTTGCTTACTTTAATTTCTTAAATAAATGATTTCCATATGTACTTCAAAATAAAATTAAAAATTAAGGCTTTTTGTTAACATGTACCTTAAGACTCTATTTGATTTATAGGTTTAGGTGGAAATTTAAAAACAAAAATGAAAAATGTACACGAAAAATAGGCTTTTTACTTATATTTTTCATTACCCTTTTTATTTTCAAATCGTACCTAAATTCATGAACTAAATTCAGGCTAATTACATATGTTAAGGAAACATATACACAACTATTTTCACTGTAGTAAAAAAATTAAATGCAGTTTAGTTAAATAATATATTTTATAGTGAGACCAAAACACCTTTGTTGCTTTTCTCTCTATTTTAGGGTGTTCTAAATAAGTGTACTTTTTATCTTTTTGAATTAAAAAGTTGAAGAAAAAAATATGGATGTTTGGGTTAACTTTTTGAATTTTTATGAAAAAATATATATTAAAAAATTGCATAAAGAAGTGTGTAGGAGAAGATGAGAGAGGTGTGGCCCACAGCGGTACAACCTACACAAGTGAATGGGAGTAGGAAATTATTAGCTACTTTTCAGGCATTGTACTAGACGGTTTTGTTTGGCCCGTGGGGGTCATCACGGGTCCCATTTTGATAATCTAAATTGTTCAATGTGTATAAATCGTCGATTACTATATATCTATAAAAAATCACATTGATCGGATATCGATAGCTATCTGATCATATTTGTTTTTTCTCAATCATTAATTATAACCCCATTCATTTGTTGTACATAACTGATTTGATCATATAGTTATCGATATTTGATCAATGTGATTTTTTTTAAACATATAGTACTCGACGAGTTCTACATATTGAATGGTTCACATTATCAAAACGGACCAGTGATGGCCCCCACAAGCCAAACAACACCCAATCATTTCATTTTTGTCCACAGCCGCAGCACAGCAGCTGCACACACATCAATTCAAAGTTGTACTTTTTGTAAAAAATTGATTTTTAATTTTTTTTTGATGAGTAGTGATATCTTTTTAACTTTTTGAGTAATTTTTTGACTTTTTATCTTTTTTAAGCTATGCCAAAGTTTTCGTTTCTTTTTTTTTTTTAGGCCTCGTTTGCAAAAAGGTTTTTTTAGTATCTTTTTAACTTTTTGGCTAAAATATGATATAAAAAAAAACTAGTATATTTAGGATGACTTTTTAATTTTTATAAAAAGATGTGCAAAAAGTAAAGAGAAAATAGAATTTTTGACTTTTTGATATAGGTTGTTGATTTTTTAATTTTTTTAATGACTTTTTGACTTTTAGGCAAAAAATGATATTGCCAAACGAGGCCTTAATTTCACCTTCCTTATTTTTATATCATTTTTTTCCTAGGAAAGAAAAATTAAATTTTGAAAACTTAAAAACACGCTCTCTCTTTTTCTTTTTTCTTTTTTGTATTTATTTTTGTCAAATTAATATCCAATTTTTGGAAATAAATTTTAAATATTCAACCAAATAAAAATAATTTTCAACTAAAGTTATTTCTAGTTGGGATTAGTTTGTCAAAAAAATAATGAGATAAAGGCATAGTTTAGAAAGTTGGTTTTGGTGAGTCAGGGGCTAAAATAGCCACAAAAAATAAAATAGACTATTTTAACCACAAAAAATAAAACATCAAATCCAACTCATAATCATTACACTCTTCTCTCACAAAAAAAGTTAAAAAAGTCAAAAAGCCAGAAGCCATTCCCAAATCAAACTTTTTAACTCCAGACTAAAATAATCAAAAAGTCACAAAGTCAACCCACTTTCTAAACGAAGGCAAAGTATGTAAAATAAAATACAATAAATTGATAACAATTGGACAATACTTTACCATAAAAGTTAACCAGGCTCTCAACGTGATAGTTTTGATTTTTTATTTTTTATGCTACATTGTAATAGTTAAATATTTTTATTGTCAATTTCCTACCCATAAATGGTAGTTTTATCCATATAAAAGAAACAGAAATGCTAATAAGTGTCTCATGAACATTGTTTTATAATGTTGTAAAATGTGTATAAAAACATCTTTAAAATATGTAAAAATATTAAAAAGTTGATTGATTTAAGTAAAAGTGAATAAAGGTTAGTAAAAAAATATATTGTGTTTTACAAATAATTTGTTTTATTTGTGCCTTAGGAGCACTTGTTAATAAGAAACTAAAAGAAATATACTATCATTTATTAGCTTATTAAAAAACACTATTCAATTTATTTATATTTTTGTTTAATATTCCCATACAAGCAAAAAGAATATGACATTCACAATAGAAAATGCTACATATAATTTATTTTCCTACCTTACTAGCCAAAAAAAAAAATTTTTGTTGCTGATAAAAAAAAAAAAAAAAAATTATTTTCTCTTTTTCTCACTTTCAAACACAGTTAAGTTATTTGTCTTAAAAAAAACATAATTTAGTTCCCTGTGCATTTATAATGATGTGTCCCATTATTTTCTGTTTAGAAATAAAAAAATAAAGTAAAAAATGATATTATGTGCAGCATTACTTAATTACGTTTTACTTTTAATCTTTCATATTAGATATACTTCTATAATCTGATAAAGTTGTATTTTATATTTGTTACATTCTGTTATGATCTTGGTTTCTGTAGTTATCTATAGTCATGTAAATTGATGCAATATATATATATATATATATGTGTGTGTGTGTGAATAAACATAAGCTTTGTGTGGTCAATTTTAGTAAATAACATTTGATTAATTACGTTTCTGATATGGTATCAGAGACCACTGCTGTTTCTAACCCCACCTCATCCTCTGCTGCATGTTCCTCACCCTCTCTTATGCCCTTATCCAGTGCCCATCATTTTCTGTCCCTGAAGGTCACCTCCACCACCACCAATTACTTGTACTCGAAAACACAGCTCACCTGAATTCAAAGATTTTGATAACCACTACCAAGATCATAACAGAATGTAACAAATATAAAATACAACTTTATTAGATTATAGAAGTATATCCAATAACATTTGATTAATTACTTTTCTGATGTTTCATATCCCTTTTATTAGCAGTTAAAAATACAAAAAATAATGTGCATGAAATTTTAAAATAAAATGTAAATATCATTACTCATAATTTATATTAGTGTTAGTAATATAAGTTTAAAAAGAAAAAACAGTATAATCCCATTTGTATTAGCACCAGTAATATAAGTTTTTATAGTCATATAAATATTTTAAAAAAATGTTTGGAATTTTAAATGTGTGAATCAAATTATAATTGGGGGTGTTTGGTGGAGATTATTTGAAGGCAAAGGTTGATAATTAGAAAATAAAAGTTAAAAACACTTTTCTCCCAACTTTTGAAAAATCATTTTTTTTATAGCTTATTTAAGTTATTTCTGTCTAATAATATAAGCAAAAATTGTGACAAATAGTCCAACACAAATTTTCAAATTCAAATAAATTATAAATTACTTGTATAATTTCCACCAAACGATTGACTTCCTCAAGTTTAAATCTTGACAATTGATCCTACACTTAAATTTTATTTTTAGAGGTTATTTGTGATTATCTAAATAAATGTAATTTTTGTGTTTTTATAAAAAGATATACAATGTGATAAAGAGATAGTGTAACCTAAATAAAAAGTGATATAACTCAAATAAATTAAAAAGATAAAAAAAAAAATACTAAAATAGTGCACTCCAAACAATTCTTTTGACCATTTCTAATGATTACTCAAACTTTTTATCAAATTTTAATTTGATGAAAAATGATGCATTTTTTTGTTCCAATGGTTTCATTAAATATGTATCAAATCTAAAATGTTACTTTTCTTTAATCAAACTGAGGATGAATGTGCCTTTTATCAAATCACTGTTTATAGCTGTTTGATTTTCACCACCGGATATCCCTTTGAATGTCCTCCGGATGACCATCTCAAGACAAAAATTTGTGAAAAAATTATACTGGCCGGTCGACCCTCCGGTTGTCTGCCTAGTCGATCTCCCGTATGACCACCTGAAGGCAAAATTTTGTGAAAAATTTACACTGGCCGGTCGACCGACCGGACATTTGCCTGGTCATTTATCTAGTTGATCGATATTACGATGAAACTTCAAAAATCTCTGTTGAAACACTTGATATCAAAAAAATTTTTTGTTTAAATTTAATAAAAAATTTGACACACCGTTAGAGGTATTAAACATTTTTATAAAAAAAAAATTAGAAAGTATTTTTAAAGTAAGAGTGCGATTTAAAAGTTCATAAAGAGGCGTGAGCGTGAGCGTGAACAGTGATCACACTAAAAAATGTTTAATTAATTACAATTCGTATCTTGCACATTCACCAAATTTCACTTTAAATTTTTCACTTTCAATGATGACAATTAATTTCATATACTTTTAATCAATTTGTAATCTCATATACAGTTAATTTCATCTAGGGTGTGCGCGGTGCGGGTCGGTGCGGTTTGAGAGAAAAATAGAAACCGTATGGCGAATGGCGGATTGATAACAGTGTCACTAGAATTTGCCATTTTCCTTATAAAAAACCGGCGGTTCGGTTGGCAAAAAATGGCGGATTTACCTTGGTAGTTCGGGCGATTTATAAAAAATATAATTTAAATTACAAAACTTAAATCAAAGAGTAAAAAAAAGACGAGAGATACCGTGATATTAAGCATCTTGCAAAGCTTTCTTCTGATGCAGCAAGTGTAGCAACAATATGATAATATCAACGACTATGCCATCAGTTCATTACAAGCATCTGTGGAAGCTACAATGATCAAATACAATACATAAAATTAATATCATTCAGGATTTACAATATATTGAAAATGCTTACTGTTGAAAAGTATTTAGATTGAAAAGTGAGCTGATGCAAGTTTGCAACATGACCAGAAAAAAAAAGATTGAAAAGTGAATTGGAATCCAACTTTATTTTTGATTACTGACATCTTGAATTCCCATCGAACAGTAATGTAATACTATATTTTAAGGTATAGAACAACAAACAAACTTAAGTAAAAAAGAATTTTTAGAATCTTATAAAACATGATTTAATAGCGGTGCAGCTCGGTGCGGTTTGGAAGAAAAATAAAAACCGACGGATTAATAAAAGTGTCACTAGAATTTGCCATTTTTCTTACCAAAAATTGGCAGTTCGATTGGCAAATAATAACGAATTTGCCTTGGCGGTGCGGTTCGGTGCGGTTTTGGCGGTTTCGACGGTATTATGCACACCCCTAATTCCATCTACTACTAATGAGATTTTTAGGGTTTCAAATAAAGTGTTCCATTTATTTGGATGAAAAATAGTTTTTAATGAATTTTTTTTTTTAAAAAAAAATTAGTGGTAGAATAAAGATAGAGGTGGAGGTGGTGGCATGGTGATGAGGCGACGACAACTGTGATGGCAATAGTAATGGAGGCGGTGGCCATTGTGATGGTGGTATGGCGGTGGTGATAGTGGTGGTGTGATGACATTGATAAAATTTTAATTTAGAAAATGTTTTTCACTTTTTAAAAGTAGAAAATATTTTTTTTGCTCAAATAGGCTTATTTTTCATTGATCATGAAAAATATTTTCCATTAATTTTTGTTTTTTATTGTACCAAACACCAGAAAATACAAAAAATATTTTTCAGAAAACATATTCCACCCAAACAAACCAAGTGTAATAGAAATGAAAAATAGAAAGATTAAAGCAAAATTTTGATAAAAATATAAAAATTAAATTACGATTTTAATAAAATGATAATGTGCCTAATGTGACAAAAAAAAAAATAATGTAGATAACAATTTTCGTTAACCTTATTAACACCAAATGAACAAATGAATAATATTATGACTTGATTTAAAATATAATGTGTCAATTAAAAATAATGTAGACTAAATTAAAATTTCAATAAAAATATAAGGTGCTAAGTCTAAGGCGAAGTTTGATAAGTTGAAAAAAGAATTAAAAAGTTAAAAAATTATTCGAAAAGTTAAAAAGTTATCATTATTTATCAAAAGTCAAAAATTACGACTGCACAACTCTTAATCTTAATTTTCTCCTACACATTAATTTATATAATTTTTTAATACACATTTTTTTCATAAAAAGTCAAAAAATTAATCCAAACATCCATATATTTTTTTTAAAATTTTTTAATCTAAAAAAATAAAAAATACTTATTTAAAACAAACTGCTTCTAATTTTCTCAAAAGCCTCATATGAATGAAGAGCTGATTCGGACAAAAGGAAAAGTTTCAATAGCAAATTGACCACGGAGCGGTAAGAGCGAAAACAAACAAAAAACACATAAATTCTCTATCGTACAGCATTCAACGTCAAGCGTCGAACAAAAATCCGTCTTCACATTCGCCCTGAATTCCTGAAGAACCCCGACTCCGGCGTCCTCGAGGTATCCTAGATGATTCTGGCTCGTCTCCGACCCGCCGCGGCCATATAAGACAATGTCCTGTTCAAGTTTTCAGCCTTAACGGTGTTTGTTGCAGTGGCATTCCTGGCGGCGGCCACCAAAGGACGCAGGCGCAGTCATCGACGCCGTCGTGCGGGGCGCAGCTGGCGTCATGTGCGACCGTCCTAAACTCAACAAATCCACCATCATCGTGCTGTGTTCCACTGAAAGAAGCATTGACAAACCAGACCGCGTGCCTCTGCAATCTCTACAACACCCCTGGATTATTGGCATCGTTGGGCATCAACGTCACTCAGGCCCTTCTCCTTCCCCAACACTGCAATATCTCCGGCCCTGCCCTCACCGCTTGCTCCAAAAGTAATCTGTATTTTTTTTTTATTATTTATATGACCGAATGTTTAGACTAACTTACGTGCATCTCGATTAATGTTTGGATCCACACAAAAGCGCTTTCCCTATGCGGATCAGATAAATTTTGGGCAGAACTCGGAAGCCTAGCTACATCGAGTTGATGTGTATTCAGTCATAGTACTACCTTTTCCAGGGACTTGAGATTTTGATTGTTGAGTTTGCTTTCAACTCAGTTATTTTGAGGATTTGAGTTTTTGATCGATTGGGAAACTCAGTGAGTTGATTTTTGGATCTCGGCCAGTAGTGTGTTTACTTTCCCATTGTTGATTGTTTACCTATCGAGTTATTTTTTTAAGTAGATGAGATCACCACAACTTTTTATTTTATATTCAGTCCAACTATTTTCTCTACTAATTATTGGGCTTTTTTTTAATAGACACTTGAGCGTAGAATTATAATCATGTAATTGTGATGTGATGCTTATTTTTTGGGATCATGATAGATCCATTTTTTTATTTATTTATTTTTGTGTGTGTGTGTGTGTATATATTTTGACTGATAATAGTATATTAATTTCATATTCTTGTACATCTTCAGATCCAGCTTCCCCTTCATCATCCGAGCCATCTCCAGGTAACAAATTTAGCTTATGCTGTTCAAGTCAAAAGAAACGGAAAATGAAATTAGAATTAACTATAAAAATAGATTTTAATTTTTTTTATTTACACATATCTGTTTAGTTCTCAAACAAATTATAATATTAAAAAAAAAAAGAATAAAAATTTTAACCTTTTTTTTTCCTTCGTTTTTTCTTTTCTCTTGGTAAATTTCTCCTCACATCTTTTATCTAAACATAATATAAGTAAAAAAAAATATTCAAAATAGAGCTGCTTAACTAATATATATTCTGAAGAAAATGCTGAATCTCATTTTATTCTCTTTCAAGGAATAATATCTTTGATTACATCATCTTATATATGAGAAATTATTCAATGTTCTCGGAGTATCACCAATCATCATTTAATATCCCTCATGTTTCTTGATCACCTAACAGAATACCTTACATACTCACATTCTCTACCAATTACAATATTATAAAATATCACGCGTCTATCCGCCAAAATTATTAAATAGTTACCCCTTAGATATACACATGCATACCTAACAGTCTAACAAACTTGTAGGTAACTAACTAATATCTAACAAACAGATATGGACCTAGATGCTGAGCTCGGACTTAGGCTGCGGCCTAGACTGCATTGGCTTGAGGTCTGATGTCGTGGCTCAGGCTGCGGCCTGGGCTGTGGCTTGGACTGACTTGAGCTGCAATTATACTGAGTATCCTCAACATATTTCATTTTCAGGAACTAATAAAAAAATAAATTATATTTCGTTTTTTCCTTCACAAATTTATGGTTACTATTAGAAAATGTGGAATAGTTAATTTCAATACATTTTGACAACAACCCTATATGATAAATAATATCCTTTTTGTCCAACAAAGCTTTGTCTGCATACATATATCCATAATTATATGATTTAACAATGTTGATCATTCACTTGTCTTCGGACTAATGGGGGATGAATTTTATTACAGCAACACCTGGAAAACATAGCAATGGAGTGGGAAGGATTGCATTGAGTGGGATGTCAATCATACTCTTGTTTGGGACTTCTATGATGCTCTTCTAGATCTTTGCTAAACACTCATTAATTTCAGAATTATGATGCGGTATTTGCACACCTCGGAGGCTCTCTTATTCGTTTTTAATTGTTTCTCCAGTACTAAAATTGATTTGGGTAGTGTTGATTCAATCTGTTACTTGGTTGACTGTTTGCCAAACTTTGTTATTCAACCTATACTATATGGTTCTGTGTGTATAAAACTTTGATTTTTTGTGCTCTCAGATGGTACATTGCAATGAATTTTCACTTTGAGGAAATGGAATGGTGCCTAACATGCTCAGAAAAAAATGGAATAAATTTTCTTTCCTTGGAAGTCAAAAAGAAGCCCTAAGTTTTATTGTCCAACTTGAGCTGCATTGTGTGTGAAGCAGTTGACGTTTTTACTATTCCCAAGCTGTCCTTTTTTTTTGAAAAAAAAAAAAAATTTTATTTGCTGTTGCTTTCTTCTCTCTGTATTATGGGGAAATCTCAGGTAAATGGACTTTGGAGAGAATAATGTCAAAGTAGAAATGTTTTCAAAATTTTAGTATGATTGATGGAAAGGAGGGAAAAAAATCAATCACAAGAGCTTCTATTTGCACATCATTTTTTTTTGGGTCTCCATTAACACTAATTTTTCAGTTTGGGTGATACCGATAAAAAATCAATTGTTTAATTATCAATTAATAAATTAGGTTTTTTTTTCATTAATTAAAATTTGTATCAAGATTTTTGTTAGTTGATATCTAAAGGGGGAAAAAAATGAAATGAAGTGTGGTCAAATGGTTTTGGAATATTCTTTCAATCCAAACAAACTCTTGAAAGATTTTCCTAGCTGTCACTTGAAACAGAAATAAAACTCCGATCGGTGGTGTCAGAAGTAACACTCCGACGAGCAAATTAACTTCTATGGAGAGATTAGTTTTTTTTTGGTTTCTTAGGATACAAGTTTTAGAACATTCTTCTCGCTCTAACTTTCTCCTCTTTTCATAGAGTCACTATTCTTGATATTTTTCTTATAGCTTAGGCTCTCATCATTACTTTGTGAGGGCCTATCTTCTTACTATATTATTTAGAAAGGGACAGTTTGGAACCACCCAACGTGATCTCGCAGATTTATATAATGTACTCGGCTCAAATGTGGAGCCCAAGTACACTACAAAAAAATTCGCATGTAGCAACAGCCAAAACCGTCGCTAAAAGTAACAAAAAGTGTCGCTAAAAACTTGCACACTTTTACCCGCGTTTTGAATAGCAACTGCCAAGCCACCGCTATAGACATGTCAGCATAGGTTTATTGTGACACTTTTATCAACTGTTGGTATAAATATTTCTCTTGCGACGGTTGGCGTAACGATGGCTATAAACGTCGCTATATCTCAAATTTACCCATTGCTTGATACCTTTATAGCGAACAACCTGTGCTTTTGCGACATTTTGTCATCTGCTACTATATTTTGAGTCTATTCCATTAGTTTTACACCGTCGCTATAACCATAGAATTTTTTTGAATTTTATATATAGCGACGGTTATTAACCGCGGTTATAGGCTATATTTTACTATTCAATTACCAATAATATATAATTTGAAATTTATAATGGTTTGCCAGCCATTATCCCTACTTACATAATCACCATTATATATCTATAAAAGCACTATGTTATTCTAATGGCTCAATAGTCAATAATTGTAAAAGATAAAAGAGTTCGCATTTTCATAATCTCAAAATATCCAAAACACCTTAATTAAAAGGTTGATTACATAAGCTTGTCATATCAAAATAGATCAAATGTTTCTAGCAAACTAATAGTTACACCATAATCCAAAAGGTACATATAAACTTGTCACGTGAGAATAGTACTCAAAAGTATTACTCATGACGTCATTTTATAAAGACCTCCATGAAAGCTGTTCAAATCGAGAAACGACGTCCATTTTGATGCTTTCATATTGTCCTATTAAAAACAACTTCGATGTTGATGCTTTCATATTGTCCTATTTCCTGCAATAAAAATGATTAAATGAGCAAAAGTATCATTTTCAATTTGAAAATCTGTAAATCACATTATACAACATAGACGAGTGATTATTTGGTGGTCTTGAAGCATTACTTCATATCTCTTATCACTTGACACTCATCGAGTTCTCAAACTTTTAATAAAACCTATTGAATCTCACAATTTTAACCAATAAATATCATGTCTGTGAGTATGCCTATAAAAAAGTATGTCTATTTGAAAACTAAATTCCCAAGTCCAATCGGTTCAAAGAAATAGAGCAACAGAAAATAAGTGAAAATATAATTTTTGATATTGTTTATCATTTGTGGTTCTTGAGAATGCTAGAAACTCCAAAGAAAGTAGCTTACAATATCATTGATAGACAGAAGGGATAGAAACACAGGATTTTTATACTCCACAACCATGAAGGGGACAACTAGGAAGTTCTTTTGAGTGTATACCATCTTCTCTAATCCAATTCACCCTCATATCTCTTTTAATTATTCAAAGTATGTCTAACATGTTTCTTCAATAAAATAACCAACACTCAAACCCCAGCAAACAATTCAGACCAGGTTTTTGAAGTAACCCAACAATTTCAATTTCCAAAAATGCATAGAGAATTGCTAATTGAATAAATAACACAGGATTTTTATATTCCACAACCATGAAGGGGACAACTAGGAAGTTCTTTTGAGTGTATACCATCTTCTCTAATCCAATTCACCCTCATATCTCTTTTAATTATTCAAAGTATGTCTAACATGTTTCTTCAATAAAATAACCAACACTCAAACCCCAGCAAACAATTCAGAACAGGTTTTTGAAGTAACCCAACAATTTCAATTTCCAAAAATGCATAGAATTGCTAATTGAATAAATAAATATGCCACAATAACAACTAATCAGTTTTCAATACTGACTCATATTTCTCATTCAACAAACAGCCTAAAAATTTAGATATAAAATTTCACATGCATACATGTTTGTCCTCAATTTGTATATATATATATATATATATATGTATGTATTTGTGTCCAACTCCTTGGGATGACATAATAAAAAGTTTGTTTGCTTTTTACTACCTTCCTTTCAAGATAAATGTTGTCATACTATGCTACTTATAATTGTATGCTTCAAACAAAACTCATTATAAATTAGACAATCTATTGGTTAGATACTAAAGCTAATATAGAATATAACAAATAAGCATTAGTCACTGAACCTTCATCATTAGTGACAGCGGGACCCATGTTTTGCTGTTTTTCCCTATGGTGTGGAAAGTTTGGGCTGACATATTGGAGTAGTAGAGGATTGTAATGCCTCTAAAATAATACAACTAATCTATTCCATGAGATTCAAGAATATAATAGAAATGATACACTTTCACCCATCAGAGTTCGTATTACAAAAAGGATTATATGCGTTACATTCATAAACGTTCATCCTGAATTTACAGCATGTAATACAAGTTGACAACAAAATAAATGCCTTACGGGCATACATCTTTCCAAGTTATCACTTGGTTACAACAAAAGATAGTCACAAATTCTATACATATAAAGCCCTCGGCTTGAATAAGCATTTAAATACAAAAAAGAATACAAAATGGAGCCTTCAGCTCCTGAGTCCTCCTAAGCTATGTCCTTGGAGGAAGCATGTCACCGGTACTTGAAAATGGTTTCCCAAGTAGGGTGAGCCAAAGCCCAGTAGAAACAGTCTAATACAATGTATGAAGTTTAATTAAGATATAAGTGTCAGATAAATATTCAATATTCATGATCAACTTACATTCTTTCCATAACCACTCAATACTGATGTTCATTCTCATCTATTCATTTCGAGTTAATTCATTTCATTCCAAGTCATATGGTAAATATACAAAATTTTTCAAATGATCAAACTAAGACTACAACTCAGTGGTTCCCTATCCGCATAACCATCATATAAACACTTCAACCTTGCCATTTTACGAAAATTTCGTCTATGGAATCGGCACCCATGTATACACAAGATTTCGCTTTCACCTCGGACACTCCGGCCAACTTAATTCTCAATGGAGTCCATCCCCTATCTCCTCCTAAACAATGGAGTACATCCCCTTGTTTCTCTCAAAACATCATACATATACAATGTATTTAAATTTATCGTCATATACAATGACTACCCATAACACATGTTCAATGCCTTAATCATACCGTCATATTCAATGACAAACTTAAATGATTAGTTTCAAGTCATCTAATCAACATGCAATTTCTACAACAATCATAGCTATCCTCTACCAATAGCTTAATACAGATATCTCTAAACAGATATACAATCTTGATAATAGATAATTTATCAAATTTTCATGAATGAGTGATTAAGCAAATCCAACTACACCATCCATTTACACCTTCTCCCAATTTCATATTTCTCACATCAATTTTATTATTTATACAAAATAATATTCTAAACACATTTAGGGTAAATCTCCTTCCCTTATTTAAATATTAACCCAAAGGCTAAAATTTATCATTTTAACACAAGAAATCCTCTTATTCAAAACCCCATAATCATCTATGGGACACAATATAGAAACCCTTCTTTCAATTTGAGAACAAACCCTAAGTTTACCCAAAAAATCTTGAAATTTCCACCATTTATACATAACCACAAATAATTAAGTTAAAACTCATACTAAAGTATAGAATATCCCTAACTCAAAGAGGGAAGACGAGCCAAGTAAGAGAGAAACCCCAAAAGTGCCGAAATCCAACTCCAATCGGTTCAAAGAGAAGATCTTGAGAAACTCCACCTTTTTATCAAAGGGAGTAGGGTGGAGAGGATCAAAGGATCTAGGCCAAAGTGTAGAGAGAGAGAGAGAGAGAGTATTTTAGAGAGAGAGGCTCTTTACTTTAGGGTTTTGGTTGAAAAGATATGAAAAAGTGATGTAAAAAGTACTTTTCGCGATCTGATATACGCACAGTCTACTCAAGCAGAGAGTCTGAGGCTCGAGCGTCAGACACAAGATTTGTTCTGCTCGAGCACAAGAAGAGGCCCGCTCGAACGTAGAATACATACCTCCAGTATTTTACAGACGACAGACTAGCCGCTTGAGCTCAAGAAGGGACGCTCGAGTGCACACCCGCTCGAGCGTAGGAAACGCCGTTCGAGCATAAAAAACATTCTTCCAGCTCTTTTGTAGAAGTGCAGAGTACTGAGAGTTTACAACTCTCGCTCGAGCGCAAAAAGGGCCGCTCGAGCGGAGGACCAAAATGTACATAGCCTGCTT